TTATTATTATTATTATTATTATTTATTATTATTATTGTTGTTATTATTATTACTATTATTATTATTATTAAATTATTTGTTATTATTATTATCATTAATTTTTAAATTATGCATTTCTTTGAGCAAGTTCAACATCTTTCAGCTGCAGGTTACACCAGCCCCAATAAGCCATGTTCATCGTATTTCCTTAGATCTAGCATTGTTCCGGTGATAATTTATGAGAAACCACAAGCGATCAATGTAAAAAAAGCATTTGTGGAACTATATGCTAATCAAAATCATTTTGAGGTAAGAATTAAAAATATAACTTTGGTGGAAATTCAGCTTCAAATGACAAGTCTTTCTCTAGTTTTTTTTTCGATAACTCTGAATTTTTGCTATTGAATCGATCGTAATGTTTCGGATGATTTTAGGATTTTTACTTAAACTTAAAGTTGAATTTTTAGTTTCATTATCATTTGCTTGAAAATAATTTATGCTTTTTTATTAATTATCATTTTCCTGATTCGTTTTCTTATGGTTTCTTTGATTTTTCTCAAAATTTCTCCATCTTTCTTTTTTTTTTCAAGATTCTTCCGGTAGAGGCGCTTGAAGGTACGTTCGGTGAAATGAAATGGGCGTTGTGGAGGAGAAATATAGAGGATGTTATCGATGATGTGGTTGTTGAAAAGGACAATGTATGTTTCGAGAAACGAGTGATTCTGAAACAATTGAAATTCACAGCTGATCAAAGGCATCTCAGGAAATTCCTGGAGGAGGCGCTAGCATTTTCGAATGTGAAGCAGCACGAGAATTTAGCACAAGTTTGTTTCTTCATTATTCTCGTAGTTCGATTATAGTTTAACCTAACCTTACAAAAATTTGCATATTTGCAATTATCATTAATTTTGGCAACTGATATTTTTATTTGAAATTATTGTGATTTTTAGAATAGCATGTCGAATTTTGTAAGAATTCTAAAATTATTTCGAAAAATTATTAAATATTAATATTCAATAGATAAAGAATGAAAATGGAAGTTGCAAAAATGCAAATTCATTGAAAAATTTTGTGATCGCGTATTATTATTATCATTGTTAATATCACTAGAGACATTAAATATGATAAGATTAAATATGATGTTTTAAAACTTTTCTTTTCTTGTATTTATCTTACTTACCATTCAAGTAGTTACGAATGTTTTTGTAATACTGGAAATTATAGAGTAGAAAATTTTCAGGTAATTGCAATAGCATCACATAACCGTTTTAGCGATCCGGAACAACAAATCGATTTTCCACTAATATGTTATTCTCATGATGGTTTCGGAAATTTAAAAAAATTTCTTATCAGCTGTCGAAATGGTCAAACAAATGCTGAGTTTAAAAATCCGAGTAAAAATTTCATACTTTAATAATAATTGATAATTTAATCATTTCAAATTTCTCTCAGAAATAATTTATTTCATAACTCATTTACTATTGCAATTTCGTACTCTCAGTGATAGCTTATCACTTTTAAAATTTTCACTCATTAAAACACTAAAAAGACTCTTTTTAGGACATTATCCATCAGCCTTTTTTTCTTTTTTTTTAATCCTTTATAAAAATCACGAAATATATAAACGCTACTCTGTTTCATCTATTACTGTATAATTTGATCATCACCTATTGATTGATACCATGATGATCATTTCCTACAACTATTCTTCAACTTTCTGATCTAATCATTTTCCTCCATCACTTTCTCCTTGATACTTAAGAAGAGAGAATATATCATAGTGTCACATGGATATATTTTGTCATATTTTACAGATGGCAATGGAATACAAACACTTCGTGCGCAGGAACTTGTTTCGATGGCCGTACAGATATTAAATGGTGTAATACATTTGCATAATTTTGGCATTATCCATAAAGATGTTGCAACAAGGTGTAAATATCTTATTTACTTCTCTTTCTTTTTCTCCTTTTAAATTATTTTTAAAATTAAAAAGAATTTCATTTGAAATGAAAAAATGTTACAATTAATTGTTTACTTAATTTTTTACATATTTTGTATGATAATTATTTAATTGAACACACTTAGTCAGTCATTCATTTCAAATAATGAGTGATAAGCCATTATATGTGATAATATATTCTTGAATTATCATACATTAAGCTATAGTTGCACAATTAATAAAATATCTTTAGGTTTGATTAAATTTCATAATGGGCATAATAAGGTTAAATTTTAAAGATTTGATTCTAGCATGTTTGACAATTTATTTGAAAAATAAATTAGCAACTGAATTATTGAAATTGTTAGACACAGAATAAGAATGTGATGAACGGATAATTAATCAGCTTTATGTTATCATCTTATCAGATGAACAATTTTTGCAGAAATTGTCTGGTATCTAAAGTTCGTGATCGTGATAATTTGTTTGTGCAAATTTGTGATTCTGCTTTAAGTAAGGATTTCTTTCCTGATGATTATCACTGTGTTGGTGATAATGAGAATAGACCGATGAAATGGATGGCACATGAATCACTGACTCATAATTCGTTTAGTAGTTCCACAGATGTGGTTAGTTCAACATTTCTTTCAATAAATAATGTCACCTTTCTCAGTAAATGATAATCAACTTTCCCTTTTTCTTATCAAAGATAGTGGAAATGAAATTGTAATCGAATAGATAAATAATTAAAGAATTAAATTAACGAGATGAAAAATGGAGTTTTATAAAAACTGAGAAACTAACTTCTCCGCCGATATATAAACAGCGAAAAAGTTTGAAATTCTTTTATTCTAATTTCAGTGGTCATTCGGTGTAGCATTGTGGGAATTATTGACATGTGGACAGCAACCTTATCCGGAGATTGATCCTGATGAGATGGTTACAATCCTGGAACGTGGTAAACGATTACCTCAACCGTATAGTTGTCCAGATGAACTGTATGTTTTTTTGTTCCAAACAAAAATCTTTTTCTTTCCTATTTTTGAATTAAACATACTTTTTATTAGGAATCATCAAACTTTTTCTTCTTCCATGTAATGAAAAATGAAATGAAAATGTGTTAATTTTTAGCAATATTTTCAAATTCTTCTTGACCTCATTAATAATCTACATAAATAATATTCCATTGATAAATACTTTACATGCCGAATTAGTGAATTGACTTACTTGACCTTTACCAAGTTTTGTTTCTTCCACTAATAACTTACTTAACCTTTATCAAGCTTTATTTCTTCTATCGATAATTTACTTCTTTTTTGAATACTTTGCTCCTTATATTGTTCAAAAAGCATGCTGAACTATTAAATTGAAATCTGTTTAAAATAATTGTCACACAACGATTTATTTTTGATTATTATGACATTTTTTTTTTTTAGGATGACTTATTAAATTACAAAATTTTTGATATAAATCAATTTTTCTAAATTTTCTGAGCTCTAATAATATGTTTTATAGCATAATTTGTGGGAGAAATCAATCATGTCAAATAGATTTGTCCTTTATCACTCTTCTCATTGAAAAACCCTTCTATATTACGATAATTGATATATCTTTCATGAATAGATTATATATGTATGCATCGTTTGAGCAAAAATAAATTTCAATATTATTCAAATTTGAAATTTTAACAACTTTTAATTTTCATCAAAAATTGCTGTCATTTTCCTTTTTTGCAGTTATTTACTTAAAAAAACAAACATATATTGTAGCAATTAAAATGAATCATTGTGGTCAAGGATAAATGGTCAATTGGTCCACTTTTTTTAAAGTTGAAATCTAGATTTAAATCTACTCTTTTACAAATTATTTTGATGTCAATATGTAAATTAGATATTTGCAGATACGGTCTAATGTATTGCTGTTGGCAACTTGATTATCGAGACCGTCCTACAACACAACAACTCCTGATTGCTCTACGGGAATTTAATTTGCAACTTCTACAATATATCTGAAAATATAGCATTATTGTTTTATGAAATTTTAATATCATTCGAAGTAAAAAAAAAATTTGAGTTAATTAAAGTTAAGTTAATTAAGGGGCAACTCGACTTTCTTATCGTTAAAATTTAAGTGAAAAAAAAGAATTTAAAATATTAATTGTTCACAAATTGTAAACTTTCTGAATTGATTTTATACCTTTTTATATTGTTTATTTTCTTTTTCTTATACCGATTTGGTTAAATTTGAAACTTTGAAGTAAGTATCATTGTTTATCCAATGAAATACTCTCTGCTTTAGTTCATAATACATGAAGATGGAGAGAGAGAGAGAAAGAGAGAGAGAGAGAGAGAGAAGAACAGAGGAAGAGGAAGAAGAGCTTTTTTACATTTTAGACATTTTATTAATCATTAATATCATTCTAAAATCTAAATGCACGAAGTGTAATTTAAAGAAATTATTATTTTTAATATGCACTTTTAAATATAACTAATCATTTTTCCTATTAAGCAGTTTGAAATTTTAAATTTCTTTGAATGTGCACTTAGATCTGCGTCATTTGCGCATCATTGATTCCCTTTTAACAACTTGTAAGCATAATATACTGATAATTTCATTCTCTTATAACAAAAGCTTTATTATGTAGTTTTTTTTTCTTTCAAAATAAAATAAATTGAAATTTGTATGAGTACATTGGATCTATTAATTTAATTCATTTCATTTTTTTTTTTTTAATCTTAATTTGACTTCTATCAAATAGCATTGGATATTATTCAGAAGTAATGTTCTCATCATCTTTCGCTTAATTAAATCATTTGCTAATGATGTTGATATCATTTGGAATCCCTATATGTCATCATTGGAAACGTAGTAAGATGAAATGCTAATTTGAAAATAGGACACTGTGGTAAATATTATCAAAATTATGCAATCTGATCTTTTTGTCAAATACAGGAATATCTTTTCCATAGCTCTCTTTAATTAGCCTAATTATTTTGGCTTTTTAAAAGAAAAGCAAAAATGTTTTCGTTTTTATCGGACGAAGAAAGGACGATTGAATCAATTTGTGTATTTTAAAATTCATTTCAGAGTAATTATTAAAGGAAGACTATATGAGAAAGTAGAATTATATCTTGAAATATTCAAAATTTTTGATTCAATTACGAGATAAATTGAATGATATTTCTATTACCACAGGCAAATTAAATATTATTCCTATTATTACAGGTAAATTAAATGTTATCCCCATTATTACAGGTAAATTAAATATTATTCCCATTATCACAGGTAAATTAAATGTTTCTCCTATTACTTCCCATTATTACATAGTACATGCCTATACAAGTAATTACCACATACTGCATGCTTATATAGGTAATTACTAAATATTACATGCATATTTCAATCCAATTGCCTCGATAACAGAAGAAGCCTTTTTTAACATCATACATCATTTTCAATTATTATTACATTAACGTTGACAAATTAAAAAGTCAATCATATTTAAATGAGTATTCAGGTAAAGTTACACTTCATATGTATTTTTCTTAAGGAATAAATTTATAATTCATTATGTTTGTTTTTTAATAAAATCATCTCTATGAATAAATAAATCAAAATTTATTCTTGATAAATATTTGTTGACGAGAGAGAGAGAGATGTAAGTGAAAGATGATATGTCACATGAAATCGCTGCTATTTTGAAAGTTTATTTTGGCCTCAGGAATGAAACGAATCCAGAAAAGGAAGTTGGAAGCATTCATTCCGGATATATTTACTAATGGTTTCCTTCCTGAATTAATACCCGATGAATGAATTAATACCCGAATTAATATCCGATACTCCTTTTTTTTATCCCGTTTAACTTTGTTAGAAGGGATTATTTGAGACAATATAAAAGGATAGAAGGAAGGAAGGTAAATTAGAGCTATGTGTTCATTGCTCTTGTCATTTCCAGAAGTGATAAAAAAAAAAGGGGAATATTGAGGAAAGGTGGAGCCTAGTTGTGTTCCGAGAAAATGAATTCTTCTTGTCTCTGATACGATAGGACAATCATTAGTATCACTACTCTAGTCAGTTGTCATCTCTTCATCGTCCACTTAAAACATGAAGTACACGTTTTCCTTAGGTATGTTATACATTATTTGTTGCTTCATCATTATTCAAATTAATCATTCCACAATTTCTAATTCCTTTTCGAATTGTCAATAAATGAACCATAAAAAAAAATCGATTAAACAAAACAAATTTTCCGACTTCTCTAGATTTAATTTCTAATCATTTAATCGATTTTTGAATGAAAATAATTGTAAATGATTGAATTTTGATAGCTTCATTAAGCCTAGTGGACATATATCGATTCCAAAGCAGGAAGAGTCACCACTACTCATTACTACCATATATATGTACTCAGTATTCAGCCTGATAAGCGCATTTCTCATTTGAATAAATCCCATTAATTTTACTCCCCTTCCATAAGCTTACACTTCCAACTCATGTTTTACTAGGAAAATCTTGTTCCTGATTTAAAATAGTTTAGTTTTTGAATGATTCAATCCGGCTACCTCTCTAGTATGAGTCATATTTGATACAATAGTATATGTATTGCAATTAATGAGGTCATTATAATCAGTTAAGATTGCTATCATAGTAAGTACGCTTTCACAATTGATACCGTATGCGTGATATATGATCCTAATTAGCTCATTGCATTTCATTTCATTATCTTTTTATAGTTTTTACCTATTGATCGAAAAATATCCTCAAATTGTCGAATTAAAAGTGCGAATTTTCATAGCACTAGTTTAATTTAACCATGCGTAAATACTGTAGCATTAAATTTAAAATTTATCCTGTAAGTACTGTTCACTTATTCTGAAATGAATAGTTTCATATCTTGGCGCAATTATCTATCAAACACGATATACATCGATATCTAATTAATGAATGATAATGGATGGATAAATTCAACGATTGACGAATGTCTCCTTGAATCCAATCCATAGAAATTGTTGATTGTATAATTTAAATATTATTATTGAAATGTTGACTGTGTTATATTAATGATTATAAAAGAAATGGCTTGAAATAGAATAAAATAAACGATTCAAAGATCAGCTAGTAATTACAGGATTAATTTTGCTTCTGCTGAACCTATTAGGTGCCTCACCGATCGTATCAATTTGGAGCAATTTACCACAACGCTCGGCGCAATCGGTACATCAATTTAAATTTGCTCAATCAATTTCTAATATTCCACCCCCTTACAATATCAAATTTGCTAAATGTCCAAGAAATTTCTTTAAAATGTTGAAATGCAAAATAAGGCTATTTCAAACTCTATTATCCTTTCTCCGAAATCATTAATAGATGTTATTCAAACTAAATTCGTTCAATACAAAGAGAATTAGTTACACGATAATTTAAGGACTTACGAAAAACATATGTTGCACTGAGAATGAATGTACTGAAAAAGAGTATCAGAGAGATGATGTTGAATATCTGAGGTCAATAACAGGTCATAAACAAGGCGAAATAATACTCGGAGTTAAAATTAAGCTTCCCATTCCTCCCGATACTTCCTATAATCAATCCATTGCAATACGATGGAATACTGCACTACTGCATGCTAGTCTTTTCATATATCTCCAATATCTTTGATATATTATTTAAGGATGATTCCGTTTCAAATTATTCATTTTACTGGAGATCTAATTACAGTAAGACAAAGTTCTCGACAGTGTAATTCATTGACATTTGGTACATTGAACGTTTAAAGTTGAGTTCTTTTGTTCGTTGCCTACAATAATAATGTACAATCACTGATAAAATCAGTAAATGTAAAACTTGATAGACCAAATTCTATCATCCATTAAAAATTAGAGGCGACAATTAAACTTAGTCATCTTTCATATATCATGTTCAAATTAGTATGGTTGACGAATCAAACAAGAACAATGCCACTCAAAATTTTGCACGACCACTCGTGGTTGGAACAAATACTGTTCAAATGTTAAACTGTATATATACAATACCTTACAATTCTGTATATATTTAAATTATATTTTCTTTATGATTAACTTGACTAATTTATGTTACAGATGAAGAGATCGATTTACGGATTGTACCACCATTTACCCGCTTACGGCTATGATGAACTCCCAGAATCACGGATTTACGTAATACCATCAGTCTACCGCTCCTGGGCGAAATAAGCAATGTCGAAGTGATTTTACTTCTGAACAATACCTTCATCCTGTTCTGTAACAGTATTTCGTATACAATCGGTGATTTTTGATTTGCATGCCAGTTATATTCAATAAAATTACAAAGAGCACTCAGTGCTTGAAGATACTGATTAGGAATCAATAAATTCATTCCCAAACGTACTGTGGGTGGCTTAAATAATCCCAATATTCATGCACTTATTTTCATTGCATCCCTTGCAATATGAAATCTTAGAAAAATCATTACTCTAAATCCCGCCGGTCCATCAAAACTGCATCGATATGCTAAATGGAATCAAATTATACTTTTTATTCAGAAAAAAAAAATGTAAGTAAACTTGGTCTCTTAAATTAGGAATTTCAACTTATCAAAGTGAAAGTTACCATCACTTTAAAACCTCATAACAATGTGACTGATTATTCCTCTGAAATACGCTGCTCCGAACAAATTTCGCAAAGCTTGGGAAACTACCAGCCAATAATTTTAAGAAGATATAGGAAAATATGAGATCCGGAAAAAAAAGCAAAATAGCGAGAAACTGAAAACATGCACGTACTATAACAAAAACAAATTCAATAATTCCATCTGGATTTACGCTCACTTCTGATCACAAGCTGTGAATGTGATTTTCTTACTGCATCCTCCAATCTCTACATTTAATTTACGTCTCTTTCTACATTAGCAATCTTAAAAAATCCTCGATAATCATCGAAAGACACAGAGCAACAAAATCAACTTCGCATCGAATCTAGAATTGCCTCACTGGTGACCTTTATCCCCTCCCTACTTGAGATACTTCTTCTAGCAGCCTCTTCACTAGTCCGAAGTAAAACACCAAACAATTTGTTGTGAGCGAATTGTGTCAAACATTCGGCCAATTTCTTAGTATCGGGTATTAATTCAAGTTTTCGTTCGCTGGATAACTGAGCTGAAATTGAAATAAATGTAATTAAGTAGCTTTAAAGCATCGCAAAAAGACTGAATTTACAGTAACGAGCCGTTTTTATTTCTATTTATTTTTTGACGACTGGCACAACCAGATAGTCGAAATTCAGATAACGGGGAAGTTTTTCTACAAATAATAATCGTTATCAGAAGATACATACCATAGGCCGTAATTCTGTCCAACAATTCACTGTAAACAGTTGGATATCTTGAATCATCATCTCGTGTTACTTTTTTCCAGTAATCGCTATTCGCCTTTATAGCAGCTATCCATATTTTGGTTTGCAAAGAATGTACCAGCTCACCCGTCCGATCAGATGCTTCTTCGTCCATCAGTGTTGATAATGTGAGTAGTGCGCTGTATTGAAATATTGCACTTAATCATTTTAAATTAAAAAAAAATCTATTCGAGACATGCATAATAGCAGCTGAAGTAATTTGAAGACATTCTGATAACTTCATTTAATGAGAAAGTCTTTTTATAAAATGCTATACCTATCTTTCAAGACAATAAAATCTCTAGGGACAAATATACATTCAAAATATATAGTAAAATACAACACTTTATCTTCACTACAAGCCAGCTTATTATAATTACGATTAAAATTGAGATGCTACTAAAGAGTGCGTTTATGTTATAATCTAAAAATGTTATAAAAATCTAATATATTGTAATCTAAAAATGGAATAATATAAAACTGCATTAAACTTATTAAATTATGGAAAGAATTTACTCAAAACATCGATTAACATCACATGATGCATTATTCAAATGCGCTCTTATAATCTCTTCTGCAGTACATGACCGTATCTTTGAAGCCGGTTCGGATGAATCAAATTTCTGAAGAAATTCAACATTAAAATTTTCACAACTGAAAGCGCAAACGATCTATAGATTTATTGACTTGAGATGCACTTCCTCAATGAAGAAATTAAAGCACTGAAATTTGCTCTAATCTTATCAATCTTTTCAAATTATTTTATTATTTACCATTTCTAAATTGGGATCGATTTTTTGTTGAAGCTTAATCAAATTGAGGTCGCGTTTAATGCCTTCCAGAAAATTGTTATCCACTTCATCCTCACAAAGGGCAGAAAGTTTTGCAAAGGAAAGCAAACGCTGAAATGGAATCGTCAGTATCTGACCATCCATTTTATTTGGAATCTTTCAGAATTCTTATGCATTTTGATAAAATTTAAGCTTGAAGCAAATAAAAAATTGAAAGATATTCCATCTTTAGCAAAGAATATTTTTTAAGGACCAGATCTTCCAGAACTTCTGAATATTACAGATTTTTATAAGCCCGAAACCAACCCTTTTCAGTACAACATCATCGTTTGATTTTTGCGAAAGCGTCTTAAGAGTGCGGCATGCCTAGAATCAAAGCTAAATAAAAATGACATACTTCATCTGGTTTATCATGCACTTCGGATTCCGTTTACAAATTGAGTAAGCATCAAAAATCAGTTTTGGCTAGAATCAAGTGATTCTTGTATTTGTGAGGAAGTTGCTGTCAATAATTCATTACTAGTAAATTATCAAAGAAATAATAAAAGCCTTATTTCGAAATTTATAGGTCACAACAAAAACCTTGGAAAAATCGCCATTTTCAAGATCACGCATCCATCCAACATTAGTTTGTGTTGCGAAGAAAAGATCTGCATCTGGTTCTTTCATTTCCAGCAGATCTTTAACATATCCTAAAAGAGCGACGATCAGAATTTTTTGTCCTGGAAGTATTAAATAATTTCTTTAGAGATAGAATAATTACCATTTTCCAGATAATATTCGTATAACATATTGCAAAATTTAGCGGAACTGAAGAACTCCTTGTATTCTTGGATTTTAGCTTTCCTTTCCAAATCTGGTAAAGCACATGCCAATCGTATTATTGTTTTGTAATCCTAATAAGAAAAACTTTATAAAACGAATTATGACAAAGTGTGGAGTTATCCCGCAAAATGAATATTTTCTTTTTTCATTCTTGAATATAAGTTTCGAAAGAGTTCGTGAATTCTGGATCGAAATTAGAATAAAAACTAGTTTTTTTAAAGCTAATTTTTTTTACTCGAATTTAGAAGCTAATAAAAATTATTGACGACCGTAAAGCTATTTACTCTATTCATCCTTCCCAGAATCTTCTTACGGTATTTGTCTCACTTTTCACTCTTGTTCTATTTATAAAAATGTTGCACATAATTTTGTTTTTTAACGTTTAAAAATCAACAAACCTGGAAACGTTTGGCCAATTCTAAAGCAATCGCGTGTTCAGAAATTTCCAAAAATCTGGCCACAATTGGTGAATTTTGCCGATCATCGAATGCTTGTTCATTCATTATGAACGCAGCAATAAGTACACCTTGTTTCAACAAAGCTACATATTTCGGACAATCACGACCAGCTTGGTTGACATAATTGAATAGTATGCTCAACTGAAAAAAAATAGCTGACTAATGTATTAATGAATTTATATATGTAAATGCGCTAGAGCACCAACGTGTTTTATGAACGGCCTTAATATATGTTTTTCCTGCGTCCATCGTAAATCGTTTTCGATATCGAGAACAATATCATCGCGACGTTCATCAATTGCTTCCTTTCCAATAATTAAAGCAGCACCAACATATTCAATACACTCAAGCTTATAATCCAGTAATTCATTATCGTTCGCTACAATATCTTCTTCTTCTTCGAAGAGTCCACTGAAGAGCTCTTCAATCCGAGAAACCTGAAATGAAACAGATGTAATTGCTGAATAAGTTATAGCGCTGTTAACAATGCTTTAGTTGATATTTTGATGTACTAAAGCTTTTGCACTGAAAGAATTCATTCCACTACTTTTAATAAAACAGTTGAGAAGATCAGTAATATATTAAGTTGGATCTTGGAAACCTTACAATAAAAAAAGCTTACTTTTCGGAAGAAGCAATCATATCGAGTGAGCAACTCTCGTTCCCCGTCGATGCTTTCTTTCCGCCTCGACAACACTCTCTCCAAGGCTGCGTCGAAAACTGTTGACGGATTTTGCTACAAACCTAATCATTTCAAAATAGAATTTATGACCAGTTTTCTAATTTCAGAAAAATTTCTTGTGTATTTTTTCCCAAACTAAAGTTTAGAGAAAGTGCTACACACAGTACCTTACTCCATTTGTACAATGCAATCGCAATATCAATCTTTTCAATTAATTCAACAATTTGAGAACGTGCGCTACGTGACTGACAAAGATGAGTTTTGACAGTTCGATTTAACTGAAACAATATAGAACATTACGTAGATGAAGCAATGAAGCGAAAAGATGAAGTATTATATTTTAAAGTAAGGAACAAATTACAAATATTGATTGAAGCTAAAAACTTTCTTATTATATTACATGGAAAACTGCAGAAAAGAAGTTACTTTGTCGTCGAGTGCAAGACTTTTGATGAAAAGAATAAACATTGCCAATACCCTCTTCTTTTGTTCCTCCAAATGTACTTCCAATAAAAATGAACTTTTAGATGATATCTGGTTCGTCACTGCTCTTGCTGAAAAATAACAGTTACATCTAGTTCTCACAAAAAAAATTTGACACAAAGCAGTAATTAAAGTGGAACTTGCAATGGGCTGAATGGCCAACAGCATTCCAACGCTCATCATTCGGAATATCGTCAGCTAAGTCTATTGCATAATCAACACATATTTGAGCAATCCCAGCATGCCGATTTTCCAAAAGTTCTTGCATCACGTTGCTGGCTTCATACTATAAATATTTTTAGCTCGAAATACGAAATAAACGTACAGATCAATTAATACTTTGTATTATATAAACATAATATTCTCAAATACTATTGAAATGTACTGGCAAGGTCAGTCATCTTGCTTCCAGTTCTGACATACCTGGCAAACAAAACGTGTCATTATTCCAAGTTTGCCAAGCCAGCAAGTAAATGGCCGAATTACTTTCTGCTAACTAATTTAGAAGTTACGTGCAATAAGAAAATCAAAATCAGCCATTCATATCAGCCGACGTACCAAGTCAGCTTTCGAAAAGAGGTAAAATGCCAGAGCGAGTGCACGACGATCACTTACGGCGCTTGAAAGATTTACCGGCTGAACTTCCATCTTACTCATTTGTGCAATGGTTTGTGCCAAATTTGCATCAAATCCTCTGTAATTTGTCATTTCCAACAGCAAATAATACATATAACAAATTATAATTAGGAAATTTCTTTCAGATGAAGCTTACCTCGGAAGTAATCGCACTCGTTGCAAACCACTTTCTTCCAAGAAAATGTAACAATATCGAGCATCACGACCTGTAATGTTTCATTAGAAATATGTGTAGAAAGATGTGAAACGAGTATCAGGTGCAACTGCAAAGAGAAATAGGTTGATGTGCCAAAGACAGTGATGCAAAGCACTCTCTCACTGAAACTAAACAAAACACTTCAAAAAATAATAAAAGAGTCATTATATAAATGAAAGTGTTTCAACAATAAGAACAATAAAAAAATAAGTCGAAGACAAAGAATGTAATTTACCAGAACTAATGAAGGTAGCGTTGTACTTAGCACATAAGATTAGCTTGAATGGAGTTTTTTTGAGCAATCGATCTGGTAGACAGAAAGAATAAACAGCTTTTTGGGTAACCACAAGAACACCCTCCATTTTGTCATGCAGCAATTGCTCTGAACCGGTTGGTAATCTCAGTGTAATATTTGCCACAACATTTTTTTCGCTTAACTATAATTCTTTAATAAGCTTACTAACGTTAAAATAAAAAACAGATTTGTTCCTAATGCAACAAATTTAAACTTAATTAAAATAATTCAAGAAAAATAACAAAACTGCCTAGACTCCTAGCGCATTGTAATGCAGATAATAAATTGGGAAAGGAACTAATTTTGATGTCTTAAAGCATGCTTCAACCCGAATTTTCCACCTGAACAATTAGCAACCGCAGTTCCAAACAACTCAAAACACAAGTTACGTTTTTTCCGGGTAGAAAAAACTTTGTCTTTTATACATAAATTAAAAGTGAAGGTAGTGTGTCACATATTGCACTGAAATATTTTGCATCATATATAACATATATCTTACTTCATACTTGTTTGAAAGAGCCTTCAAAACACAAAACCATTCTAAAGCTACAGGAGGATGTGCACCATCATATTCTGATATATAACCTGAAAGTTTCATTGGAAGTTTTACGAGGAAAGTACTTTTGCTAGAAAACTTAACCGTATTTTCTCTTGCAAAGACATATAATATTCTGTTGGAAAGATTAAAAGTGACCATTTATAGAAGATGTATATTTGAGAACAATCCCAGGACACTTGGTTCATCTTTGATACCTGTACATTAACACTAACCAAAAGCAAAATATATTTGCGTAGAAATAGCTTTATTGTTACATGCGAATAAGACCAATGCACCATTCCTAATGTTGACCGCATCCAGTATCCATGTTTTAATTTCTTCATGCCAATGCCTATGCTCCTCAACGTCGTATAAATTCTTAAAATGCGTTACCATGATTATTCATATATATTAAAAACACAAACAAATTTAAATTATTACACATACCCAAAGATTCAAAGCAAAATGCTCGCTGGCCATATTTGCCAATTCACAGCTCCACATCTTCGCAGAATCTCGTATCGAATACGAGTGAAAATGATGCTCCGTCACCGCAAGTATATGCATATTTTTGGTAACACCAGTATTTGAATTACTGGATGCACTGGAACGTGCATCCACTAAATCACCGCTTGACTGTTCATATACCAGAGCCTTAACCAATCTAAACCTTTTTCATTTTTAAATTCATGAAGGTAGTTACATTAGCTGTTCAGGGTATAAAATATTGCAACATGTAAGATGGACTAGTTGCATCCGTGATTTTGTAAATCGAAATATATATTCGATGACCAAGAAGCATGCTCAGTTGAAGATCTTGGATCTGAAGGTGTTTTTGAAATTATATTTCAAAAGATAAAAATATAGAAATACATACTTTGCTCCAGACTGTCTTCCTTCACCAAATATTGCCGAAGCCAATTTACCACCAATTCCGTTTCTTGTGTTTGTATGAATTATTTTGATGGTAATTTCGGAAGACAATCGCTGCCTTTTTCCTGGTGTGGGGGTAACATTCGCATTGACATTCAGCAAAAATAATGAGCCTGTTGTTGTTGCCAGAAGAAAACATATACCTTCTGGAAATTATATTTAGAAAAAAAAATAAAGGAGATGATCCTTAAAATGAACTTCAATCGAGTCTAATCGAACTAACTCGATCGAGTCTAACCGAACTAATTCATTAATTTGCATGAATTCTAAAATCTTAATCGACCCACATCATGGTTACTTGAATATGATAATTTTAACCGTAGCCTAATGTAAAGAATTAAAAAAGTACAATTGGGACTGGAAATTCGAACTACATCACCCTTCACTTGCAGTTATCACCTTTGCTGCAACCATTAAATTTTATAGTAAGTCTTGCAAATAATTACAGAGTTCGTTAAGCAGTGCACAAATTGGTCCATTTAATTTCGCTCGTGATAAGTAAAGATAAAGTGTTCATAGGAATAAGGATTAATTTTAGAAGAGGCAAATACCAAAACTGACAGAGAATTAACCCCAAAGCTAATGTAAATCAATAATTCATACGAGAGTCCAACGAATACCACCCGAAAAAAGAATTCCAAATAGATGAATGACGAAACCTGATGACTGCAAATTAATCCTTCCTAACGACAACGCTACCTCTCGATCCAAATCAACTGAACTATCACTGAATTGACGATCTGGCAAAGACCAATGCCGGACAATACCTTCTGGTGTTACGGCAATTATTCCTAACGCCGAAAAACCTAAAAACACGGAATAATCGAGTTTTTCTACCAAAGTCTATTACCCACATTTGAAAGAACAGTTCAATAAAGTTGAAAAGAAACCTTGTCTTTTGTATACACAGACAGTTTGTGCATTGTAAGGAAGCCCAGATGGTGGTAAATTAAGTACTGCTGGTGCACTTGTATAATTCTCCTGAAAAAAGAAAAATCCAAATTTCTAACAGCTGATTGCCATATATATATATATATATATATCCGAATAACTCCAAAAGCCATAATACCTCTGCGTCATATTTCCATACATACAGGCTCTGACCAACTATTAACCAAGCATAACCACAACTGGAAAGCGAGCCTGAACATGAGCTGTTCGGTTCCCTCCCTAAATAAAACATCATCATCAACATATCATTACTTGCCAATAGGTGAATTCTGTATATTCTGTATCAACTGATAGAAAAAAAGGTCATGCTAATATCAGTATTATTTCATGTAACCACAAATAAATGCATAACATGTTACGTTCTATACATTACATATCGTTATTAATTAGGAAGAAAACATACCAGCAAGAGCTTCCCGTACCAAACCAGGATAATCATTTCCAACCGGTTCCAGCACAAGCTCTACCGATTCCATTAATTCACCGTCTAGAAATAGTCTTATTATATATCATGTACATTTAACTACGAATGATAAAGTTCTTTCAGCTTCTCTTATCAAACTTCATGCTACAATTCCGACACTGCTTGACTCCGCATCTACAGACACCATAAAGAGGCGTCGCATCTCACGACACTAATGCATACCATATCTCTTGTTCATCTTCCTTTCACTCTAAATATGGATAAATATACAACCCGCCATTCCAGCTCAATTCTCGGACCCACCTAGAACGCGCCCTTCAAATCATCAGTAGAATTCAAATCGGGAATCATCAAAGTATAACAAGGCCTACAGCCCAAACCTGTGACACAGTACGTAAGCTTCCGTCCCAATCAGTATTAGCAATATCATCAGGCTCTATCTCTCCCATAGGAGGTTTCAGTGATGCTCCATCATGGCCTATTGCGGTATTATGGAGAGTAATACAGTATTTCAAAGAGAGAGAGTGACAGACAGCAGGCATCGACAGATCTCTTAACTTGTGGTGCAAATGTCGAACAATAAGATTTATGAACAAAATTTATAACAAATTTATAACAGAGATTCCTAGGATATGATACAAAGAAATAAAGAAAATTAATTCAAACAAAAAAGCTTTGAAAGGAACAGTGTGAATAAAAATATCTTTCATTTGAACAAGTCTTTGAACAGTTGCATATATAAATAATACAACATATTGATATAATGCACAGAAATATATATGCACAATGTGCTGCTTATATGGATCAGTTAATGGTGGCATTCATACATATATCTGGATTAAAGGGAATATTTGAATGGACTTCAAGCAGAAAAGTTGTATTTGACAAGTTGAATACTAATCATTTTGAAAAACCAAAACAATAAATACAAAAATGCATCAATATTTTTTTTCCTCGTTCTCAAAATGACTTTTACCAAATATTGAAGTCCAGAAAAATTTTCACCATGGATAATAACTCTGCTTGTCCATGTTACGATTTCTAAAATTATTATTTTTATTTAGGAAGGAAACTGGAATGAGTAAAATTCAGACTAAGAATTATGGAAATGATACATTTCATCCTCATCCTTCATCCTCGTGGAAAATTCAGCCGCAATTCACAACCTATGCGTAACTTTGGAATGCTCTTCAAAACTTTTAGAAAGGATAACAATTAGCTAAACAATTCCTTGCTTCAGATTACGCACCATGGTCATTACAGGTACACACTTTTCGTTAATAATAAAAGGTGGTATAACATAAAAAGATAAATTTGAGAATCTTAGCTATACTTGCCAACTAATAACTTGTTCCGCCGAAAAGAGTACTGTATGTGAAAAACAAATTTATGAATAAAGGCACTCACTTAATGAATTCCTGTTGGTGTAATCCCTGCAACTCATATGACCATTTCTTTCTCTCTTCTTGAATATGTTTCATCATCGGAACTAAATTATTTACATTTTCATGTATTTGTATACTCAAAAAGTGTTTCAGAATAAATAATCTATATGATGAAAAAATTGCTGAAATACATTCTAATCAATTACAGTGCTTTTGTTATTAAACGTTGGAAGGACTGATTATATTATAATTATATCCGTGATTACTTTTAGAAAATTAAATAATGTAGAGATTATGAGAAAACAATTATCTCATTAGCACTGCTTGCAATGAACTTGATCTTAGCTTCATCGATTTGTTGTGGTTTAATTACTCTAATTAAGTGTGCATGATATGGTAGGGCTCTTTGTATGCAAATTGAATGAAGTATATGAAATGATGACAAAGAAGGATTATTGCATTGGGGATAATGGGATTTGAAGTGAATAGCGAGGATGAGATGTTTTGGTGTGTCTAAATACTCGACAAAGATATATTTTTGGGGATAACGAAATATTGCATCTGTTTGGGAGTGCTTCTTTTCGCGAATTTTGAGTTTAATAATTAGCTATAAGAGCGATTGCTGCCTAATAAACTGAAATTATTTCAGTGGCATTATAACATTAGGCTGTAGGGACCCAGAAAGTACCATGATCATCCCCTGAAAACAGGATCTGATTCGGTCTTGCTATAGCCATTTCCCTACCTCGTCGCCATTCAGCATGGCCGCGGGAAGCATCGGCTGACTGCGCCAAGCTTCCAGATTTACCGTGTTTCTCCGAAAAGATATACTCTGAAAAGAAGCTCTAGCACGTTTTATTTTTTTCTTTTTTTTTTGGAAGAGGAATAATATAAGACCCTGTCTCATTTTCGGAGAAACACGGTAGTTGAGTTTTTTTGGTATACAAAAACCATCGTGTATGCTAATTAGCTAATTGGAAGCACCTGGAACCTATAAGTTTTTCAAAAATACATTCCTTCTGCTCATAGGTGATAAGGAATGGGAATAAATGATCCATAGTTAGAAAATTCTACTGTTCACTCATAATGATATAGACAGAATGAATAAACACATAAGAAAATTTACTGCTCTCTAAAAAATAAGTAAAGCAACTGTTAATTCTAGTCTAAACTCGAAAATTTTAGATTTAACTTTCTCCACTGTTTCGGAAAAAAGCACAGCATTTAAAATGTGAAATAGTGGGTTTTTACATTTTTTAATAGAAAGTATTGGATATTACAATTCAATCATAATGAAAACTTACAACCCAGAACTTCATTAGATACCTCCCACGAAGTCCAGATTTAATTTTCATCACCCGTAAAATACGGTAACAAAAAAAAGACTGCATAAAAATTATGATTTACTACTTCCAACAAAAAACAAACCTGGCGGGAATTGACATGTTTGCCTCCTATAAATGTTATCTACTAATCCAGGAAATGTCTGCGCCCTATAATTATTGGTCATCATTCCTGAAAAAGAGGATGGGTGTTTCTAATTAAAAGAAATGAAAAAGTAATTTACACACTTACTGCTCAAAAAAGTATTCATATAAACTTTCAAGAGGGTAATGATAGACTGTTTACTCTTGAAAAATCATTTCTTATGGCAAACAACGACTAATCAGTCACTGACCGGTTAATTCATTCACTGAAAGCTTTGCAACAATTTAAGAAAAAGGTAACCTGTGCTAAAGGAAGATTGTTGAACATCGGTCCCGTGATTTCGAGAGAAATCCTGATTTTGACGTTGATGTTCATTTCTGAACCGTCGATAATTGCCGAATGGATGGTAAGGTTTTCCGACATTTGTTCTTCCGCAAATTAATGAATGTCCAAGCCAGGATCCCAAAGAACTGCAATTCGCACGTTTAACTGATGGCATGGATTTGTTTCCTGTAACAAATTATAATCTAATTTAGGATTTTGTTACTTTCCCACTGTACAGCATAAATCGATGAGATATGAAAATGATAGTACGCTTACAAATTTTGCAACATTATTCACTGATGAGTCTATATCCCACTTATTTCTTCACTTACTTTAAGTGATTCAGTTTTTTTCTTTTTTTAATTTATGACACTTTTAGTATTGTTGATAGAGCCAGAAAATCTGTGCCGATTTGTGCAATTAACTTAAACTACATAATTCCATACATACTGGAAAATATGATTAGACTCAGCTGTTTAATACTATTAATTTAAAAACATTTAAAAACCTTCATGAAACACGAAAAAGCAAAGCACTAAGTATGCTACTTCAGAAATCTTAATTATAGAAAAACAGACCAAAATCATTTCTCCATGATGTCTGGTTCAACGTACCAGTATAAATTCCATCAACAGTGTACCCTGGATTTTGATAATCATACGGACCATTGAAAGTGAATCCATTTATTGCATCGAGTTCATTCATGCCTCAAACATTTTATTGTCTGATTTTCGTATTCAAGGTTTAAACTACAGTTATAATCGAAAAATTTTAGCATTTAGAACTCGCTGACATTGTGAATGTACCTTTGGCACTATGTATTAAGCATGATGCCTTTAAAATAACTTTTATATTTCAAAACTTAAGTATGACTTCCACATCCAAATGTCCTTTTGTTCATGATATCCTTAAAATTGATAACCAAAATTTAAATATTTAAACAATAATCCAATAAGAATTATATTCTCCAAGTAAAATAAGAGTGAAAAATAACACTAATAACCATTTTCATTGTATATAAAATTGTCACGAATTGGATGCAATGATCGAGCATTGGTATAATGTCTCTGGTTAAGCAATTTTGCCGAAGAATATGAATTAGAAAATACGGATGACAAAGCACGATAAGAACTGAAAACAAATTTCAATGCAAACTGTGTTTACACCTCTGACAATATCGCCCTATAATAGTATTTCGCTAAACCACTGTTCTGATAACACGAGATTTTGTAGATTTATTCTACTTCCTCAGGTTTCGAATTTCTTAGAGATTTAAATAAAGCAGCTGATGGTAATTCAAAGTCATATTTGAGGAAAAACAACTTAGATTATATTTATATGAAATATATGATCTAATCATGAAATTTACATCACTTTTTTTCACACTAACGTAAAGGATATTTCCCTAATTCATATAGATAGGTATTTTAATGTTATTAATCGTATAAAAAATTTTTTCTAGGAACAAAGCTTTTCCTTTGAATAAATAAAATTTATATTTAGCAGGATTTTTTTTACAGTTTCTATTTTTAGAAACGAATATCTCTTTGCCTTGCAGAAGTCGCTTTTTTTAATCTGACTTGCAAATTTCTCTAGTCCAACAATTTGTACATTTTATTAATTCCAACAATTTGTACAGGCTCAAGATTATTTATAAAGAAAAAAAAAGAAAGATTTTGGGTTTTAAAAGAATAATGAGTATAGTTTTAGATTTTGATCTAACAAAAGCCAGAAGTGCTTAATAGATTCATTCAAATATAAAATAGCCCTACCTTCTATGCGGAATTTTATTGCTTGGTTTACCAAAAATGCTTTTGTTGATCCGCCTTGCAGCTTGTCTCTTTTGCATTCTACAATTTTTCATACTTTTCGAACTTCCCTCTATTGCCATCCTTTCTTTGAATTTCCGTTCAGTTTTTTGCTCCTTTGTTTTAACCTTAGTCTGTTCCCTTTCCATTTCTCTGTTGATATGTTTTTTAACCTGCTTTTCCATATTCTCTTCTTTGCTGAACGAAGGAGATGCATCTCTGCTTTTCATTTCATCTGCTACCAACAAGTTTTCACCTTCATCCCATTTCGGAATTGCCACTGTAAAATATTCATAACCAAAGTTACTTGCTCGGTCAAAGTCGAGGTGAAGACTAATCTTGGTTTCAGTCCTCACACAGAATTCAGAATTATCTCTTCAATACACCGCAAATAAAATCCATGAGTTTTCAAGAAATTAAATATGAACTGAAAAAATTTAGAGGATATTCATTGCATTTCAATAATTCCGACGATACTATTAAGATACTATTTGTTATTTTTTTCCTATAAGACAACGATTTAAAATCAATCAACTAACCGGTAGAATATAAAATGGCTGCAGTACTACTGTTTTCTTCAAATGTTACATAATTTGTCGTACAATGAGCTGCAATCGCAAGCTGGGCGGATGGAAATGTGAGAACTGAACACTGCTGCCTTCAATACAAAAAATGACCATGCACAATACAGGAATAACAATAATCACTTTATCTTCACATATAACTTACCTACGGACGGAATTTCCCACGTCAAAAACAAACCAAAATTATTAAAAGCAATTCTAAGGGTCTCTTCAGCTATAAAAAAACATTTTTCCTTCCGACTTCTCTTAATCGTAACATGCATAAGCAGAGAGTGTCAGTTTTCCCGACTGCAAAATTCCGGTTGCCACAAATTTCAATAATGTTTGACATAATTAAAAGCAACAAAATTAATAAAAACTGACTCCAGTGAATCCTGCTTAAATTCAATTTTTGTAATTTCCCAATGAGGAAATACATTGTTACGAATATGCTTTTCAGTTATCCCATCAGGTACTGGCTTCATAAGCAGTTGACACATATCCTGTGTAGGCATACGCAAACGTCCCAATCTTTTCTCCAAACTTCTACCGAATTTCGTGATAGACTTTGCTAAAGGTATTAACAATCATAACTCTTTTCTAAATAAAATGTTGTTCAACCACTTTTTTGTTAGATTAAATCAAAAATATCCTTTACTTAAAATACAGTTTTACTTAAGATCCCATTAAATCATCTTTAATATAATAAATGATGTTTGAGAATTGAAATGTTAGAAATACATTCACAGTAAAATCAGTTCAATCCAGGAAGAACAAATACTCTCAGACAAGCACCTAATAAAAGCAGAGATAAGGCTTTTGGGTTTTTCCTGTAACTCTATTCATATGATTACTCACTTTGCGGAAGAAAGATCTTGGCTCTGCGACCCGCTGTAGTTCTCATATAAACAAGATAGTTCAATGTACAGAAGGCAAGCGTATTGTTGTCTGGGAAATATAAATTTATTTTTCTGAAAACTTTATGGACTTTACAAGTTTAAAATAAAGATTTGAATAAGATTGATTAGGACCGAAAGAGTGTAAAAGCAATAAATCAATTAAAATAAAAATGAGGATGAACGTTACCCAAATGTGAAATTGGTTCCTTCGTTGAAAGACAAACACGGAAAATCAGTCTCCACACGAGATGCACTCAACACTACTGGATACAACCATGGATTATGCATATCCGATGGCATTATATTTTCTATCTTCAACAGCTTCTTGTCGTTCTCTTCATTGACAGCTAGGAAGAAAATTTAGAAATTTAAAGTAATTAGAAATTTGCAACAACGGAATTTACGGTGAAATTTGCATAATGAGTCATACGATCAAATCAAAACTTGACATATCCCCTTCAATCTTTAATTCCGCTTCTAGTCTGATCTCCTTGCCTTTCATACTTGTTATTGAATAATAAGTATTAGAGGAATGTGAGTTCAGTATACAGCTTCCAAAAGCTCACTCACTTCTCCACTGAAACTCCGGTGCACCATCCCAATTAATTCGTAGTCTTGAGAAGTGTACATCATGATGTACATCGATCGGTGACAATGATGGCAGCTCCAACATGTCATTTTCATTAAAGCATATTTTATTCTTTTCCGAGCTACCATTCAGATCCGTTAAATGTTGAATTTCTCCTTCAATGTCTTGCAAGTCAGCCAAACCTGAAAAAGATTTGATGGAAGTTTACTTGGAAATTTATTTACAAACAAACTATTTTATAGTATTTGTAATGAGATATATGAAATACACCAACTGAACAAAATGTTGCCAAGAAAAACTTAGACATATGCATGCGACTTTTTCACGCCATGAAGTCAAATTAATTTACACATATTGACAAATATTACTACATACTACAATACGTATAGAGTAAATTAATTCCGATGCTATTATACTATCATCGATAATATACATAACCCTTATTTTCTCGCTTTTTATACACTTTCTGTTTAACCTATAAACTAATTTTCACGAATATAACAAAATTTATTTAACCATAATAACAGGAAACAATATAAGCATACATTGTTTAGCTAGTGTTTGAAAAATCTGTCCCCCTTCCCCGTCAATTTAGGAAGGCATTTATTTAAGGGACATATGAATTTCAAAAAGATATCACGCATTCTTTCCTTAATAAGTCCAGCTCGACAAGCATGTGAGGTATAGAGAAGATACCTTTTGGATGCATAGAAAGTTTAACTGTAGATGCAATATCATCTTCAATCACAATAATTTCTCCATCATTTTTTGTACATTTGTGTGGATGTGACTCCTCAAATGGCATAATTTTTTCCATTGAATCGCCAGTCGATTTAGGCAAATTCATTGGTTTCTCTGTAGAAATGCTTTTGGTTGAGTTTCTCAGATCGTTTATTTCCTTCACCTATAATTTATTCCCCTTTTGCTTTTATCTATTATTATTATTATCATCATCATCGTCATCAAATCTACTTTATAATTACTCGTAACTTCCATTTCATGCTCTACTCGTCACGTGAGAAATTAATGCAACAACCGTTAATAACCATGATATAATATTTTATATTTCATTTTCCAAATCTCTGACGACTTTAAAGGTGCAATCTTGTGAGAAAAAAAAGAATTGGAAAATAAACCGTAACAAATACAAGAACCTTGCATTTATCCGTGTTACTCATGTGACATCATTAATCGGATATTATGCATACTTATTACCATTTCAAAATGGATAGGATGCCAGTTTATATGGACATACTTGTTCTGCGATTAGAAAATTCAGAAGTGATTCGGAAATCAAAAAATATTCCCACAAAAAAACTCGCTCAAATTTCATTATCCTTTGTCGAAATATTCATAACCTCAGATTGTTTCTCGCTATTTCCCGTCATTTTTGTTATTGATGAAATTGACGTCACGTTCTTAGCTTTCACTTCTGAACAATAATGTTAACAGTCTAACCTTGAACAAAATGATATCAAACATTCACAACCAAATTCCCATTGATAAAACAATAATAGTCATTCCATATGGTCAAGAAAACTTCTTAATCGATAACTTCCTATAATAAGTAACTCATATATCAATCAATCAATAACATTTTCATTTCTTGTAAAAAAAAGGGGAGATACTGGTCAACTCAACCCATAAACTATCTAAGAAGTTTCAAAGTGTCATTTTTCATATTTTAATGTAAGTTATTTCAGTGTTAGAGTTTGAACTGCTTCTCACCTCACTTTCTGTCTTCACACAAGCACATTGGAAAGATCTTGCTAAGTATAAAGCATGTATGCATTCTAGCAGCGAACGAAAATATGAAAGTTGACACACCAGTTTAAATTAAAAGACCATTGGTCATTAATTACTAATTGACACTAAGCTAATTGAATACAAGAACAGGAATCCCGAAATATTTTAAATAACGTTAATCAGTCAGAGCATAGGTCCACCCCCCACCTTTGGCACCTTCCATTACTGTTCACAAATTCTCTACATTTTCGTTACCACTGTATTTCTTCTATTTAGAGTATTTGGTAATCGACGGACAAGCATACCTTCTTATCCTGACTGGTTTCCAATCTCTCCCTAACACTGAATGTCATTCCCAATAACTTTAAACTGTTCCTTCGAAACCCTCCACGGTGTATTTGAACAATGCTAATGGTAATATGATTAGACTTGACTTCGTGAAATATCACTATCATCCACCATTTTTCTTTAGCAATCTTTCAAACGGATACAAACAAAAACAAAAATAACCTGTGTGAAAGGAAGGAACTTATGACAGATAAACATGGAATTTCATTATGAAATAACATCATATATTTGCATATGCATCTTCACTGAAAAACACACATTCTTTGGGCATACTGTTAATATTTAACTGTCAATTTTATCTTGTCCCCCGTAAAAAACTTCATTTCCTGAACTATAAATTCGCACTACTTTCTAATTGCTAATTAGGACATTCTGTCTTAATATATTCTTTTAAGCTCCATCGAACGATTCAACATCATAAATATGAAAAGTCATACAAATAACAAAGTATAATTTCATTGTATACGATACGATAAAAAGGGAAAAAATTAGACGAATCCGACATAATGTTTGGTATTTTATTCAGCAACAATATCGCTGAGAATAAAAGAGACTTTAAATTCCAATCACTGAAACGCAATGGAGTAGGAGTATAGTCTGAATGAAATATTTTAAGAAACCACAATTTTGGAAAATTTTGAAGTTATCACTCCGTTCAAATAGTTTCTCCTACCACAAAAACAAAAAAAGGATGAATTCGACGTAGAGGGAAATGCTGCTTACGACAATTTTTCGAGATGGGGAATTAGAAAATAGGTGAGATAACTACACATAAATATACTCATTATTATTCACATCTCAACAACAAGAAGCCAGAACAATTAATTCAATTGAAAACTGATTTTCAACAATATTTCCTAATCAGTCAATGAAATGATAAGCAAGGTGATACCAACCTTGAGACCACTTTAAATCAACAAGGAGAACTATCAGTATGACAAACATATCAGCTACCCAAGAAAATGTATTCTCTAAAATAACCCCAACTAAACTGTTTAAATTTAATTACTCCTTTTGGACTGTTTTATTAATTTTGCTCATCACTGCCATAATGGTTTTCTAATTTTTTAATTTCTTCACGTCTAATCTCTTCCCTTAACGACAACAACTCGCTTTCATTCACCAATCCTTTCCGTAACAACCGTTCCGAAATCGACTCCATTCTTCCTGCAACAGAATTACGAATGAACAGTTAATTTCATATGAACTGTATTGTATTTCCTGTCAATCATTTTCCGAATTTTACATTATAACGGAATCTAGGACCTAATATATTAAAGAATGTAATGCGCTACTTCTTATCCCAATCAAATTTCTAGAGCTAATCGATATTATGTGTAGTAATCAGATCAACATAGAATCATTCAAACAGAACAGTACAAGAAGTTATTATTAACAATCAGTAAAAATTAACACCGCTGAATTACCTTGATCACTCACTTCGTCCAGATACCCATCTTCTTCCTGAAAATACATGGATCACTATCACGATAAGAGAAGCGTAAGTGATATTATTTATATACTCTAAATTAATCGGAAATAAAAATGACATTTTCCTGTACCATGCGAATACGAACTATACAGTGTGATAAATTCACTAACGTCATCCGGTTGCGATGATGTGATCTCAGACATTGTTAGCAATGCTTCATTTATATAGCTTTCGATCAGTTTCCCCAGCAGGCGTACTCTTTCTCGATCCGGAAATATATCCTAAAATATTCAGTATCTGGATGGTTTCCAGTTATTTCAGAAAAGCACACAAATATCAAATTTTTATGCTTTTTAATGGAACAAGTGTACTTTTGGACAATTATTTCATATATAAGGGATCTTTTTTCGAAATTGTTTACTTCTACTTGATGCTCTATTCGTCACTTCGACTTGAAAATGAAAATAAAAAAAAAATTTTGTACAAGAGTAGACAAATAAAAAATGAGGCTGAGTAATTTGAATTAAATTATTTTATATAAAACAATAATCAAAACATTTTTGAATTTCATTCAAAACATACAGCCACATCTTCTTATTTACACTGACAATAGTTTCAAAAATTCCAATTCATGAATATCGCACTGTTCTAGTTAGAAAATTAATAAATGCCAAGACCACTCACCGGAAATTTATAACTGAGCCAAAGATAAAGGTCAATTAAGTTATATAGTTTACACATATCTAAAAGCATTGTAACACTGGTCGGTTTAGGTAACGGCCACTGGATTATTTCACAAAACCAGTTGTAGTTTATTGCTTGACCTTCGGCGAACCTGAAAAAGAGTCAAAATTTTGTGGCCAAATCAGAAAATGGCAAACCATTTCTCTCACTCCTGTACTTTTATCCAAAATTAGAATCTGAAACAAAAAAAGAAAATTGAAACAAATATAAACTCGCCTTCGAGCTATACGCACAAAACATGTTCGAGCAACACCATTATCTACTTCCATATCTACCGGTGCAGTGCAGAAAGCATATTTAACCTGGAATTATTGGAATAAATGACTATTTAGATTTCAATTTTCCCTCTCTTTTCACCATTATTTTTATCTCTAGTAAAAAATAAATGGTTAGAAAATACGCTATTTTAGAATTTGCAGATACAAAAAATATAGAAAAGTTATATTACCTTAATACTCAAAGGAATGTCATCTATGAGCTCGGCTAGTTTTCGGAATTGTTCGATGTCACATAGATGGAACTTTTTGCTCAGAGAGCTTATCGATATAAACATATCAATAATACTGAGAAATGAAGCATGAGGAAGATGATATGAGAAGGTCTCCAACTGCAATAAAGTAAACCGTATAAGTTATTATGGATGTTAGCTTACAAATAACAAAGAAGGTACCTGTTCAGAAGTTGGCGCAATACCAGCAGTTTCAATGGGTTTGATGGGTTCTTTCATGAACGCCTCCAACAACGGCATATCCGCTGGTCGCAAAGTCGTTACCTTGAATGTGCACTTGTTACATTTCAAAAATATACATAATAAAAATAATATTTCAAAAAAATATTTCAAATCTAAATTCCCAACATGAATTTCCAACATTTTAACATAAATTTTATAAACTAACCCATCCTTTCTGATAGGCAGACTGAAAGCGACCGGCACGTCCAGCAACCTGCATTACGTGATAGTTTGCTTGGTGCTCACCAAATGGAAATTGTACAAATATGATTCTAAATATTTCATTAATAGCTATTTTATTCACCAGATGAACATTCAGAAAGAATGATCAGATTGACGTTTAAAATTAAATTTATAAATTTCTAAATTTATCAAAAAGGTGATGAAAAGCTGTAATTCAGAGCTGCAGCTGAAGAGAATATGCGTGCTATTAAGGCAGCAATGAAGAAACGTAGAGTAAATAAACAAAAGACTCAAATGTTACCAAAGAATTTTGCCGTACATAAAAGCAACAGACCTGCGTATATTTAAATTAAGACCCATTCCAACAGCGTCGGTTGCAACCATTACGTTGGGCTTCCGACTCATTTCATTGAATGTTTTCGCTTGGTTTAGTTTTGTCCATGGTGGCAGTGCTCCGTATATCACAGTCGGTTGTACGCCCAATTTCATTAGGGTTTTAGCTACCGAAAATAACATAGAAACCGAAAAGCATACTAAGCAATCACCATCCTGAAAAAATATGTCTCAAAAAAAGAACGGAAAAGACCCAAGGATATCAAGACCAAATCTTAAATTCAATTCCGCAAGTGCTTGGCTCAGCTCTAAGCCCAGAAAGTTTTAATTACCCAACTTACCTAATGACTAAAATCTCGCCTCAGTACAAATCATACAACATAACCTTAACATTATCAAGCTTCTTTAAAGCCTCTTTATTCACAGTAAGAGGAGTTTTCCTTTCATAACGGTGCACTTCTACATGTTCTCCAATGGGATCGAGTAAACCACGTACAATATCTACTGCTGCTTCTTCGCCACAAAGATGAATCTAAAAGACGAACTAGATCTCCTGATTTGAGTTTTTCATCATTTAAATTCCAAATAGAATGAAAATTCTGAACTCTAAAGGTAAAACCGATCGCTTCTACACAAAAAAAATGCAAATTTAAACAAGTCAATGAACGGCATATCAAAAGTGTGGTAAAAAAAGGTAAAAAGAAAAGAAAGCAGTACTGAAAGATGAGTTATAACTCTGAAAGTATCTCCATAAAGAACAGATAAGAATGATGTTAATGAAGGAACCTCTTCTGCAGCAATACCAAGTAAAGCTCTTGTCCAAGCCCAACCACGACTCTGATCACGTAACATCTGAATTTCATCAATCACGGCTACCTCCACATTTACATCAACAGGCACCATTTCAACAGTCATGGCAACATGAGACGAGGGGCTGTCAGCATCAACTGCATATCGCCGTTCTTCACCCGTAACCATATCACATTTGATACCTCAAAAGATAGAGATTTTGATTTTCAGATTTAAACTTGAAAAAAAGAGAAACATGAAGGAATTCAAAAAGATAACAAACCTTGTTCATTGGTTTTTTGGCATACTTCATTGGCAAGTAACCTTAACGGGCAACAATAAAAACCTGTTTTGGCTCGATAAAATTGTTGCAATGCTTCATATGTTTTGCCACTATTTGTTGGTCCTATAAAATGTAGTTTGTTTTATGAAATTAACTTCCAATCAGTCATTTACTTATCAGTTTGTTTTAACTGTTTAGCCTAGCACGAGAACTATCTGATCATTCATGTGACCATATATCCGATAGCGACATAACACTGTTCTCTTAATCACCATCAGAAAGAAAATCAATCCGTCTCACCTAGAAGCTCTCTAGACTTCTGTTACTCATTTAACCGGAAGAGTGGTTAAATTACCTCGCTGGTAGCAGCATAAAAATGATGATAATTTTCATTAAAAAACGCAAGTTATATGACCTGCATGAAAATGTATCCGCCTGAATAACTCCCTAGCTTTCGGATACCAATTATACGGTTTGGTTAGATCACTTAGGGTCTTCAACTCCTTTTCGCATTCCAAATGTGGATATACCCTTTTGGCGTGCTCGATAAAATACGGATATAAGCTGTCGACATCACGTGCTGAAGACAACCATTTTAGCAGAAACATGTTTTTGACCGTTATCAGTGGAACACGAATTTTCAAACTTTCTTTGATAACCTCGAATTTACGATATAAAATAATATATTGATTTAGCAACAACGTACAAAACACATTACTTTTTATCAAAAGATAGCATATACTGGATCGATAGAACCGAAACAAGTATTACCTTTGTTCAGAATATCACTGATTACAACAGCAATACACGGGTCTAATGGCGACGCATGTAAGCAGTAATTCCGGAAACTTCTAAAAAAAAGTTTCATTCAGTAACCAAATTCCATAACATAGTCCTTTTTTAATGAAAAAAAAAAAAGGAAAACATACTATAAGTTCCTGACCAAACCTACTATGACCTTTCCATAAGCAAGGCCGATAGTAAACATACTTATAAGCAGCATGGAACATTTTCCTATTTACGTTGTTTTGCTCAGATAATTCCCGAACCAAAGGTCTTCTGGCAAAATTTTCCAAAACCCGTGAAATGTCGTCCTTGTTCAGATCGACAATAACATCCTGAAATGATTACTGAAAAATGATGCTTAGAAACAATATAATCCACTCCTGAAAAATCATCTCTATATCGCTAGATTATGTAAAAATATTCCGCTTTGTATCCGATCAATTAAATAGCCAACTCTTTTGACGAAGATAGAAAAGATTGATTAGGGATGAAGATCAGAGATAAAGCAGATAATATTTCTAGCAAATAATCCAAAAATCCAGATATACCGTTTCCTCTCTTGGTAAATTCGGAATAGTTATCGGAGCAGGCGGTACAATATCGACAAAATTTCGTAATTTAGTTTTTCGCGCCGTAACCGTCAAAGGTACCATTCTGGCTGCGAACTTCGTCTCCATCGGTGAATATTTTGTTTGTTTCAAAATAATCGGAGCGTATTTCTTACCGTTTCGTACTAATTCCGAACCTATCTTCCGGCTTCTGACGAAAGCTGACTTCGACTGCTGTATTTCAGGTTTCTCATTGCAACCTGCCAACTGAAATGCTGGAGAAAGATGAAGATCCCTAGGAAACAAACGTTTACCAAAAATTACCACCTGTTTTATGATTGCCAAACACCGCACAATTAAGAGAGTTCCAGTAATATCCTCTGAATATTATGGACAAAAGAAGAGTGTTTAAAGCTGTTACAAATAGCATAATTTAATATTATTAGTAAGCAAATAAAAAGTAAAATCCATAAAAAGAAATAAGAACAAACAAAGATAAAAGAAAAAGCAGAGGGAAACTGACGGAACTCTTCCTCGGTGCAACAGAACTATGGGAACGTCGAAGAAGACGTGTCTGCATGAAAGATGTTCCCTGATCGGTGCTGCTGGCCATAATGAATGTCCATGGTGGACGATATTTTACCGCTTGTAATGCCATCTTACCCACCAATGTAAATGACTGTCCTGAGAAGCCGTTGCTCTAAACAACCTGAGACAGTTATCTTGTGAATATATAAAATATAGGAACATCATGTATTCAAGAGAAACTTGAATACATAATGCTCCTTGCGATCGCAATCATTAATACCATTACCATCTGTGGATATTTAAGCATTCTTTTGCTTTTTTTACTTTCCCATCATCACTTTCTCTTATAATTGATTTCACTCTTCAGTATATTTATATAAACTGCCACAAGCGGAACACTAATACCTACCACACCCTCATCCCCGCCCACCCCATACATCGCGGGTTTTTTCTTCTGTTGAAAAGGCCCGTTGCATATCCGTTGCATGCTAGAAACCATGAAGCAGGAGGAGCGATCCTATTCCTTGTAGTTGAACATTTCGGGTTGGTGACACTATTGACCGGCTTGGATTCTGTATTAGTGCTTCATACATCGATGCTGTCTAAAACCGCAAATAATGCAAACAATGATGATATTGATGTATAGTGGTATCATGAAGCATAGTCAAATGATGTGACAGATTAATCTTTGTCCTGATGTCAACAGTTGGTCAAAACGTCTTTGATGTTATGATGGATATGGTAGAAATAACGCAGAAGACTGAATTTGCAGTAGACATTCAACAAGACTGTCGTAGCTTGGTATAATTCGTGCGTCAGGATGTGAATCCATTTTTTCATAGCATTTTTTTTTCACGTCAAATTGGTATACATCAAGGTCTCATTAGCAGTAATTCATTCACAGCGTTAAGAGTCGACGGGAAAAATCGAACCAGGTAATGAATGATGAGGTCATACTCCTTAACCCACATTCCAAAAGACTGATTGTATTTCGAGAATCATTCAAAGTTTCAGGATGTTTTCTACTTACTGCACAAAGTTTGCGCAGTGCCACAGTTGCATATTTTGTTTCGCAAAAAAAAAAAAGAAAGTGTATCCGTGTGCTAAATGATGATAACGTAAGGAGCGTTAAAGTTGTTGAAGTAGCTCGCAAGAACTTCAACGCTTCCCACGTGTGCAACATTCGATCCGTTACATCCTATTTTTCTTTAAAGAAAAATTGATTTAGTCATAAAATATCATAAAAGTAAAGCAAATATCAAGAGGGCATTTCAAGCGGGCGCTTTAGCTATTCCATTTTCTCTCTTTCATCTTTGATCAGGACAACTTATCACTTTCTCATTTAAAAGCTGTTCCCTTGATGTGAACAGTGTTCAGAATTTATTCAAATTTATTCATTTGAACGCGGTATGGTTATGAGTTCTTTGGTTAATAGCAAAATATCCATTTGTATTTGTGATATCAATTTTACATTTGGGATTTTCTAAACTCAGATTTCGTATTCAAAGACGAGAAATTCACTGTCATCAATATGAAAGTCGGAACTAATCACAGATTATACTACCATAAAATGCATTCTCAATAATACTCTGATTTTATTAACTCAAAGACATTAACAGACTTTATAATCTACTCGGGATACCTGCAAACGTAGTTTCAATTAACTTCGTTAGATAAGACTAAGAAATATCAGGTGGAAGTGATTCTCTAGTAGGAAGTCATGGACATAGAATGAATAAATCAGGATGCAAGGATATTCTTGTTTCGTTCAAGAGTGGAAAGTTGGAAAAGAGCTTGTTTTAGATTTCAATGTCAGGTAAGAATTTCAAAACATAACAAGAAATGAATACTGAATATTCGTTATTGCTAAAATTGATGATTTACTTTGTGGGAGACGTTTCATACCTTCAATAATTAGCATTTACAAATTCCGATTCTAACCTGATATTGGTGATAAATTTATGCATACCCATTATCAGTAGATTGTAACAACATATGGATTCACTTGAAACAATTCAACAACTGATAATGTCAGTCTTTCTCGAGAAGTGATAACACTTTTGTTGGCTCCCGCTTGTATTGTTATGTTAAGTCTCTGGATTGTCCTCGTGATATATCCGTACTTATTCCGAATAAATCACATCACCATACTTTTAATCACGTGTGAATTAAATCAACAACACATTTTCTCGAGTGCGCAAACGCCAAGAACCGTCTTGAAAGCGTAGTACATGGAATTCTAAAATGATACATGTGCAAGTAGAGCTGTTGAAAGATCTTTCTTTTTCAATTTTCTTTTTTGCTTTTAATCATTTATGCTTTCTTCTCATTAATAGTTTCTCTCGTAAAGAATCGTTTTCTGGACTCAAATTTTTTTAAAATTTTTAGTCTACTTTTTTTTCGAAATAGTTTTGAAAGTTTACAGTACTCAAGCATTTCATTGAGAACTTTCGATCGAGACTTAGAAATTTTTGCTGCATTTAATTAGGAAAAAAAAAACAATCAAAACAGTTATTTATTGAGCAGTAGAAGAAGCTGTGATATACCAAAGAAATGCAAACGAGCTGAAGTTGATCATATCACTCGACCAATCTGTTAACATGTGAAATGATAAATTGATATTTTCTCCTTACAAATTTCATTTTTTCTTATTTCAAATATAAAAACAAAAAAAAAACTTTTAGATAAGTTTTTAACGGTTTAAATTAGCATTTATCATTTTCGTTAATTTATCATTTCAATTGGATGTATTGTTGATTATAAAGTGAGAAGAAACTGGTTGAAATATGGTTTTCTCTGTAATTTCATTTTAAATTCTGATTACATTTCGGTTGTAAACTAGTAATAATCCAGTAAAAATTTTTAATTTTATTACTTATATTTATATTTTCACTCTTTTATTATTTTACTGATTAGATTTTATTAAATCTTTTTTCAATAAAGCAAGATTTTAATATTGTAAAGAAATGATATTTTAACTATTCCTTAAGAAAAATTTTTTCAATTTTTTCAAATAGTCTAAGTGAAAAAGAGACAATGAGGCTGATGTCAGCTAAAATAGATTATGTACTAAGATTGTCACAGATTGTCACAGATTATGCACTATTTTAAAGATATCAATTTTTTAGAAAACCAAATCAACATCTTCTCGACGTAGTCGACAGGAACGTTTTCTACGCTATATCCTACGTCGTAAACAATGTTATATTTTACTTTTGTCTGAGTTTATTATTCTCATCTGTCTTATCTTAATATTACTACTGTTCTTCTGGTTCGCACAAAATGAACTGGTTCGTTTTTCAACATTTCAAAAAAAAATTTTTTTTCTTTTGCAACTTACATGTAGTGTAACAAAGTAATATTGCCCAATAATCAGTACAAACTGATCGCGAGACTGATCAAGAATAAGTCCAATCGAGAATTAGTCTGTTAAAGAATCAATCTAGTTAAGAGATTTGGAATAAATATAATTTGCAAAAGATGAATAACGAATGTTTAAAACATTTACCAAAACGATGTAAAAATTTTTCTTTTCATTTTAAATTTTGCATAATTATTTTTTCCTACCAGTTTATTTTCTCTTTATCTTATATATTATATGATTAATTTAGCATGAGAAATTTGCGCCACATAAAGTTGGCGCAAATTTCGTAAATTTTTCATTCATTTTACACCGCATGAGAGATTTGTGCCACGAACAGCATTCATTTCAATAAATCCTTTTTACATATCCTTTTTTCGTGAATGAATTAGATAAAACGCTCATTTAGATTCACATGAGTAAGTAATTTATTCGTGAAATGGCTCTTCAGGTTGACAGTCGTAATTCCATCCGTCCTATCATTTTCTGAAAAAAAAAAANAAAAAAAAATTAGACATTTAGTGAATTGTAACTTGACAAATTTCATCATAAACGAAAGTTTAGGAAGGAATCTTTATTGAAATAAGAAATACAATTAAAATATCGAAACATTACAAAGTAATTAAAATATTATTTAAAATTTTATAATTGTTGACAATGGGACTAAATACTTTCTCTTTTTTCTTTCAATTCCTATTTAAATTATTCGGGTACTCATTTTATCAGTAATGATTGCTACATTGAGTGTTCATTTGTGCTGTAAAGAAAATTTTGTCAAATTTTAAGCTATTATTATTACTTTTCTTATCAAGCAATAGTTGATATCATTGATAAATTCCTTTTATATTGAAATACTTTGGTTGCTGTTTTACTTGTTGTTTAAAGTTACTTTCACGAAGCTGTAATGTTTTTTGTATATTAAGTATAATCAATGAGTAAGTAATTAGCATATTCGAAATTAAAAAATTCAGTAATAAAATCTAAAACACCACAAAGGTTGTGTAAAAAAGTTTGTTGTGTGACAATAAGAGGGATTTACTTTTAAGTTGTCACAGATTGTGAAATTTGACATTTTAAAAACAATAAATTTATCTGAAAACTCTACAAAGAACAAATGAAAAAGATACTAGGAACAAAATGCAGGAAGGAAACATAGACGTGAATACGTGAACACATACAAATACAAGTGAATCCATATACACGTACACGTGAACATATGAAAATTTTAAATACAGAATGAACAAGAGGAAAAGTTAAACGTCCTATCTTAATTTTCCTGACGAAACATTTTAAAAACGGAAAATCAGAAGTTTACTATTTATGTGATCAAAATTTAGAATGACAAAAGCTGCAAAAGAGAAATGTCACATTTAGTCTAATTCATCTTTTAAAATAATCACTAAAAGTTTATTCAATTTTGAACCAAAGAATAACTATTACCGTATCCTTCCTTCGGTAGTTATAAAATAACTAAATGAATATCTGTAATTATTTTAAGCAATAATTTAAAACTAAAGAAAGGCAGTTGAGTTATTTACCACGTTGATCATATTCATATCTGTTCATATGTGTCACGAGGATTTGACAATTCAAATACCCAATAACTTATCAACTAATTAGTATGTGTCATCATCTCAACCAAATATTATCTCCTAATTTTTAGTGTAAATTATTCAAATGTTATTTAAAATGATTGCAGAAAGAAATGGAATTAGTAAAGATTGAGAATAATTGGAAAAAACATGAACAGCACAAGTTGAACTTCTACAAATGCGAATATGAACCTATTTGGGAGAAACCAGAACAAATGAACTATGTAATTAGTAAATTAATTTTGTTTTACTAATTAAATGATTAAATTATGATAAAGGGATAGATATACATCAGCATTTTTACCAAAATTGAAAAGAAATTAATAACTTTCTTAAGTTCCATTTGTAACTGTTAAACATTATGTTGAGGATACTGTATTGCCTAATGAAAGAATACTGTAAAATTATGTAAGATATACAGTAAAATACTGTATAAAATTAGTCACATTTCTTTTTTTTTAAAAAAAAATTAGTGTTTTACTAATTGGATGATAATAAGAAGTGATATATTTAGAAATAAAAATGAATAAATATTTTATGGATAAAAAATATATAATTTATTATATTACTATACGTATACGGTAATTTACTACAGGATTTATGTAGTAGTCATTTTGGTAAAGGTGCACAGATATGGGCATTACAAAAAACAATAACAAATTCAACGAAATGTATTCATAAGATACATATGGTATGATTTCACTTCCACTAACACAGTACATCATTTTAGTTTTACTTTCCACATATTCTCTCATTTCTTTTTTATTAATAAATTTTAATCTGGTAAACTATCAAATATGATCATGAACTTTAACCTTTTTCAGTCTATAGCATA